ATAGTATCTCAAAACGTAACATTGCAAAGGCCTCTCTGGTAATATTTTTCCTCTCATCAATTTGATTATAAAGTAAGCCTCGTTCATTTATGATGCAGTTACTCCGGGAATATACACAATAGAGGCACAACCATTAATTGCTAGCTTTCTCCCTCGTCTTCTCCTCCAAATGTCAATTAGGCATCGATAAAAATAAATAAATTAAGTCAAATTATCCATGACATTTCAATTGTGTAGTTCACTGAAAAGCAGAGCCAACATAAAAAAAAAACCTGAAAGCAGATTACTCCATGAACTTATGTTTTTTTGATCACAGAGTTTTGGTAACCACTTGGGGTAGCCCATCGGATACGCACCAATGGCGGCGATTTCTAGTCAGGATTTGGAGGGCACAGCGGCGTGCCGCTGTGCCCTCCGCGGCGTCGACAGACGAATCTCCGGGGGGGGGGGGGGAGGGAGGGGAGATTGCCATGTAGGCATATTAATGGTTCAAGCTTAGTGGTAGCCCGCTAGCCAAATGCGAGTAAATACAGCGGCGGGCTAGTCAAAGCACTTGTTACATTACAGTGTAATAATTCGCTTGTCTTGTTAATGACATACTTTTTAGGAAGATATTTCAAAGGGGAATTAACTTAAATTATGTGGTATAGTTTAATGTTTGTAATGTTAAGTTGAATGTATTTTAATGTTTTGAGCACAAAAACCACGACACCTTCTATTGTATACCACTGTATATAAATGGCAATCAACCAAATCAATCAATCAATCAATCAAACCTATTAAAGTCCCCCTGGCGAGTCAAAATTATTGAAATAAGGCATGCAACTTTCTCGTGTATCCGCGAATTTTAGCGTTTTTAATGGGAATTGCGGCCTAAAATCCCCGAAAATGTCATGTTTTGGATTGATTAATACTTATCCTATTTCCAAAGGTCTGGTTGAAAGGAAACTATAGGTTTTCCCGGCGAATTTTCGAATTTTTCTAATCAGTTTCAATATCAGTCATTCAATTTCGCGTGAGTTTTGCACATGTGGTCCAATTTGGGTATCTTTTTCATTTGGGTTTCATTCAATTTCATATTTAGGCAGCCAATATTTTGCTGTGAATGTTCGTTTTCGTTTTCGGGCACCCTATTTCGTTTTGGTGCATTCAAGACTTAACTCGTAGCAGTCTGAAATTAAGTCTTTGCAACCTTTTGACGGTTGACGCATTCAAATTAGCGAACATCTGTGCGCTTATAACGTATAACCATGCTTTTCGTTTCTTATTTGCTTATGGGCAATCGCTTTCATCGTTTGGTCATTTAAATTAGTAAGATGTTTTAATCGATATTTTTTCCTATTTTTCTCCGAGGTTCATTCCCCCCCCCCTCAAAAAAAATCTTGAGACTGTAAAATTTACAATGTTACAAATCAACTGATATGAGGGAAACAAGATGCAACGAAATAATGAATTGAAAGGGACTAAGATAATTTCTTTTTCACTGTTGATCTTTTCTACTTGTTTAAACGTTTGATCAAGGGGCTTTTTTACGTTGACGATTTCTTCATCGGGACACGTAATGTGTTTGGAAATTCGGGAACAATTCTCTTGCGTTAATTCTTAAGTGTTTTCTTGCGTATGTCTGACCGAACACTTACCATATTCATAGGGCCCATGCAAAGTTTTAAATGCAATTCATCTTTGTTTCACATTTAACCTTATTTGCAAGTTTTATTTTCCATTTTGAGGGGTGTTTTGGTGCCTTCTCCGTTTTTATGCTAATGCAAAGTTTCATATTCATTAGAAAACCCGTGATGGCATTCCGAGCATGATTAATGTTACACGGCTATTTCAGCAAAAAAAGTTGCTAGAATGTTGGATATTTTGCTATCATAAATTTCTCTTATTTGGTGATTGTATGATGTGTCAGTACATGGCAGTAAGCCAATGACCATCCCTTTCCCACAAATGTTTTGAAATAGCAAATTTGGGATGAATAATTTGAAAGAAAAAACCCTAAACTGAACAGTGTCTTTCTGAAATGACATCACAGCAACAGCGTTAGTCCGGAAAAACATGGAAAATTTTAAATGCTTAAAGAAGTACACATTTGCAATAAGATTAACCCAAAAAGTGTTGTCAAATGTGTAGTTTAACATTTCACAGAGTAGCGCAAAAAGAATTCCTGAGAAAAATTCATTGCACATACCCTTTAAGAAAGAATGTCAATCTACGGTTTGAAGTCATCAAAGATGGTTCACGCTAAGGAATACGGACACGTATTAAGTCTTAAAAGATGTTTGACAAAATGTGAAACACGTTCACCCATTAATGAAAACGAATGCCCGATCAACCCCTTACTAATGGTTTAGACGAAATTGAATGAACAACGCGATACTTTCAATATGAATGCATCTTTGATAGGGACAAGTGAAGCTAAAAGGCTATAGAATGCTCGGATAGTGAAATTGAATGATTCTTTTTGACTGTCGAATGCCGATCTGCATGATCTTTCAATTTCAATCTAAATTGAATGAGCCAGGCGTTAAATTGAATGAAAACTTGGTGAAATTGGCCGGGAAAACATAAATTATAATTTCTTATCGTTCTAAAGAAAGAAGGGGGTGACGGTCGTTCACATCGCGTGGATCGGACACGGCGGACATTTCAGCCGTGTCCATTCGATGTACGGTACTCGTTGCGCGAATGTGGCAAATAATACACACAGCATAAATATTGTTTCTCGCGCGTCCGCAAAATACGAAGCACTGGTAAGACAAGTGCGGCAGAATTCAAGACCAGCTCGATTTTTGAAAGTCAACATTTTTACTTTTAAAGGATGGTTATGGTGTCGATATTTATATCCTTTTTTAAATGCTCTCTCCAATTTTGTTGCCCAACTTGGCGCATTCAAGAACGTAATATCCCTTTAAAAAATGCCGGTTTCAGAAAAAAAATCTGATACTGACGCGCATTTGGCTTGTTTCATGTCATTGCGCCGCCGACTTTTGCGCCAAAACCGCTAGCGAGTAAATAAAAATAAAAAAGATCATGGCCTGGCTCTGCGTTTTTGTAGAACGTACCGGTATTGCTGCCAAACAAACAAACAAACAAACAAAAAAACGACAAAGTATCTCGTTTTATTATCTTAATTAACTGCTTATTATCTCGGTTAAATGACTTATTATCTTGTTTAAACGATTAATTATTTCGTTTAACCGACTTGTTTATCTCGTTTAAACTACGGATTTTATCTGGTTTAAACGACTTTTTTCTCTGGTGAAATTTCAAAGTGAAATTCGCGCTACTAAGGTGTTACCCATCTGCCATCTCACATCTCGCATCTGGTGTGGATGACCTGACCTTTGTGTGGCGAGTTGTAATATGCAAATTTGGAACAATTATCATCTGGAATCATGCAAACGCAATTGACATTTAGGAAGGAGACGAGGCAGGCATGAGGTTACAATCAAGTATAAGCTTCATATGGCCTCTCTGGGCTCCCTTACATTTTGTACTAAATTAAGTCGGGCACTATATGCAGACGTTGCTGTAATTTTGTAATTGTGTGTCTGGCAGCCAGACTGAGGGAGTGATGGTCATGTATCTGGTACATGTAAACGTTTTTTAACCTTGCGCAGAGTGACCTGCTGCCCTTTGGGCCCCAGGTAACCGATTTTTGTGAAGAAAAAAAAAATTAGGTCCAATGACGGTCACCTTCCATCCTGGCCTCCTGCCAAGTCTCATTGAAACATCAACAAAGACCTGTAACTTGACACAGTCATCTCCCTTCATAATAGCCTTGGTCAATGCTCTCGTCGTTATTCGTCCCGTATGCGGTCAATCGTCGGCATATATCCTCACGCGCTATGCACATGCATGTAAAAATACAGCGCGAACAGCAACCTCATGCGGCCACTATTTTTTATGCAAATCAGTTGGGGACGATCGAGAGCCTTGGTTCAATCGTCGGCAAAAGCTTATGTTTTTCTTTACTTTGCGCTAGATTTCCAGCGCACGACCTCGTATGCGATACCTCGTATTTTTGTGCATTGGTGCCGTGTGCAGAGACACACAATGTGTACGTGTATGGATTATGTACGGTGCCACGTTTCACTATGCAAGTTTCCACGCAACGATCGACCAATAAGAAAACGACATTTAAGGTCAGCTAAGGCTATTAACATAATGAGCACCACCCCCAATACCTCACATGGACGATTGAACCAAGGCGCTAGATCGGGTCCAACTGATTTGCATAAAAATAGTGGCGGCGTGTGGTCGCTGTTCGCGCTGTATTTTTAATGCACTGCATGCATAGACATATTATGACTGCATGCATAGCGCTAGAGAAGATATCGTTTACCGCGCTACGGCCGGATGAATAACAACTAGCGCCTTGACCAAGGCTACCTTCATAACTGCATACCACAGCCGTCAGTCAATTATCTTTCCAGCGCACTGTCTGGCAACTGTCTGGACATTGTCTGGCACGTGGCTTTTTGTTGTATTGCTATGAATAGGGTCTTGCGTAGTGCGGGAAAGTACCTGCTGCCCAAAGGGCAGCAGTTGACGAATTGTTGCAAAGTTTTTTTGTAAACGATGCGCATGGTTAATTAGCGCAAGCAGACTTTTGACCAGCGTGGCAGCTCATGCACGATGTCGATATCGCTGTGGTATGTGGTCCGACGTTACCGTTTTCTCTGACTTTTGTCTTGACTATCCAAATTGTGTGCGTTAAATAGTATTTTTGACATGTCTGGGATGTTTTTCTTTATTTATCGACATAGTAGTACCGATCGATAATAGCGAGGCAGCGACATGCAAATGGGGGGACTCAAATGCGTCCCTGTAACAGCGGGCAAGATAGAGGGCTCCCTTTCTTAATGTTAATTGACGTTGCAAGTACCCTGGGTTGCGGAAAAGACCCATTACTATTTTTTCTTCTTTTTTTATTCAAATGGGATTCGGTACAAAACCTGTTCTCAAAACAATCGCACACTCTTCCTCAGGTGACTCTTCTTGCTCTGTGGAGGGACCTCTCGGGATGGAAGATGGTCGCATCCGGGATGAACGCATCACAGCTTCGTCTTTTAAGTTCAACCTCGCTAGCTACGTCCCACCCAGGGCCAGGCTTAATTTTCAAGGTAAGCATTTGTATTTGAGACTAACCACGTTATAATTCGAACAGCCATTTAAAAGAAAAGACAGTTGTTTCACCCTAAAAACGCCGGGCGGAATCCGCCCCCTCCCCCTCGACTTTTTCCGCGATAGCCTTGAAAAAAAAAATTGCGACCTGAGCTGTTCTGACTATTTAGCTACGAGCCTTGCGCATCTTTCGATACCGAAAACATTAAAAAAGAATTCCGACGCAAACTGAATTTCCCCATGAACGCAGTGTACACAAAGCATTCGTGCATGAATAATTAATTAGCCATAATTCCAAAATCGTCACTCGATGGCCAACATATTAGGCCCCCCCCCCCGGCTGAGAGATGGTCAAAATATAAACCTGCACCCGATTTCATCAAACTCTTCGTAACTTACGATGTATCACAGCGCTGCGACGCGTTGTATCTCTACGATGCGTTGCAGCTGTGACGCGTCCTGCGATCCATTTCACAAAACACGCCGCAAGTGCGACGCGTCGTAGGTGTATTTATAGCACAACTTGATGACTGTTTTATGTCTTTAGTCAGCGTACAGTAAATAGTCATCTGATATTCAACAATCAGTCGTCGGATCTCCGCCCAAAATTTGTTAAAGCGTCAAATAAAATGGCGGCCGTGTGATGCAATTTTAAAGGAAAACAAGCTCTCAGTGGACTGTATAGCTACTTTGAAATTGTAACTGCAATATTCCAGGTTATTTCATAATTATTCAATGAATTTTCTATTTACAACTTTACACACTCTGCCTCGGTATTATAATCTCGTTTATGTGATGATTAAGGCATAAAACTGGCTAAGAAAAGGACTCTTCTTATTTGGCAATGACCACTTGAATACAACGCATTCAACACATCGCAAGTTTTAATGGATGATACGACGCATCGCGAATTGCGACGTGTTACACGTCGTAACTTGAGTTGCGACGCGTCGCATCGTTTAGTTAAATCGGGTTCTGGCCCTTTTAAATAAGGGGTATTATTCGGCCTGAAATTCATGAAATTATTATGTTGTTAGGGTTGTTTCTTTATACTCTTTCTAATGTCTTAAAAGGAAACTAACCTAATGTCTTACCGTTCTTGAGAAAAGACGGATGAATATATGTTTACATCGCACGCGGTGGACTTTTGTGGCATACATATACGTATTTCCCGCCGTTTCCATTCAATGTACATTACACGTCGTGTGTGCGTCACATAATACACACAACACCAACACAAATGTTGTTTCTTGCACGTCCGCATTATGCATAAGCGCCCGAGTATTTCCGAGTACAATATATGTTTAATTAACTGCTAATTGATTTTTAAAAACTGTTAAATGAGTTGATAATTAATATCCATTTCTTTCATTTAGAAAACTTGAAATTCAACGACGATTTTGTGCATCAAGTATACTCGGATCGTACGGGCGAACTTTGCAGCGTCATGTACTATTTTGAATTTGACGACCGTATGTTTATACGAAGCAATTGATTTATTTAAATATTTGATCAGAACATTAAAAGCTATCAATGATTAGGTGAAGTCGGAAACGAAGCCGAGCTTTAAAAAAGGGCCATCAATGTCGTCATTTTTTACTTTTAGTCACATAGGCTGCCTGACCTACAATTTTAGACGTGAGCGTGGGGAATAATTGTCAGGTCTGGGAATCAGACTAGCGCCCAACGGCCGTGCGCTGACCCACACACAGTCATCACGCCACACTGAAACACAGCAAAAGTACCGTGGAGATGAACCACTTTTACTTACGTCATGTTCATCAATTTGATTTAAAAAACGGTCATGTTGAACTCAGAGATTTTCTTTAAACGACTACGGAGTAAAGATTAGACCTTCGATGATCTTTTTTGGAAATAAAAACCAAAATGTCAAAAAAGCATTTCCACAAAAAAAAAATCGTTTTTAAGCAGGAATTATAGGGGCGTCATGAAGTTTGTACGATACACTGTAAGTGCATGGACCACGTGTCGGCGTACAGGACTCGCTGCATGACAGAACGAAGCAAATACAGACTCTTTTATATAATTTGCCTTTCAATCCTAGACTAATATGCACATTTGGTATGGAACAAGTGTTTGAATTAAGACTGTAGAAAAAAGAAGGCGTACAAATAACGACTTTAAAAGGGATATTTCTATTATCACCATTGTACACAACCCTTTTGTTACGAATGGAAGAGGCACACAGACCATCGTTCATGATCTTCTCGGGGCCCCCTCCGCCCCCCCCCCCCTTGGTGACGACTCAAATCCATGGCTCAAGCTAAAGAGGGCAAAACTCGAAAGATTGTCAAGCTTCAGTTTGATGTAATATTTGTGATGTAATACATCAACTGTGATGACCTCCAACCCCCTCCCTCTCTCATCTCCCTAAGGGCCCTGTCACACTTCTGCGTATCCTAATTCCTTATGAGTTGCGCATTGAACTTTTTTTCATACGCAGACGTACGCACGATACGCACCTCATATGCATTTCTATCGTTTTGTGGAAGTCTTATGTACGCAGGCATACGCATGGTGCGGCCCAGTTCGCCGGATAGTTTTGGGCATGCACAAAACTACGCTGCGTACGCTGTTACGCAGGTCATAAGTTATAAATACGCAGCGCATCGGTCCCGCATCGGTCGTGCGCGGTACGATCACGCTATGTGTTCGTGGGGGATTTAGCGGTTCATACGCGGTAATACGCTGACCTCCCGGCACGCACCCCGTCAGCATATGAGCCGCCAATATTGGACGTATACATAGTGTACTTGCAGCGCAGAAACAACGCACGCTGAACGAACTCATAGCGAATGCCGACGTATTGCGTCGAAAGTGCGTCAGGAATGCGGTCGGCATAAGTCGTCAGAAAATCCTTCAGATTGCACCACAGAGCATCTAAAATCCAAAACTTTTTCGGGGCCCTCAGGCGGCCCCGGACCCCACGCCTTCAGGGCTTCGCGCTCCCCGCTCGCATATAAAAAGCAATCCACTTTAGGATTTAAGGAACCCCCAGGCTGGGATCAAGGGAATGGGCCTGAACAAGGTATGCCCACAGGTACAGTGGGCGTGTACACGCAGTTTTGCGATGAGCATGTCCAAAACGTTTTCAATATGATAGGGCCAGTTTTTACGATTTTCTTTAGTTTGAAGTTGAACTTAATTCCATTAATTCCATTCAAAGTAATCAACATAATAAACCATTATGATACATGATGTGGGGGAATTAGAAATGGATTTAAGGGATCTTTTGGGGCGGAAATTATCAAATATTTTGTGTGACGGCTCGTCGGCAAATTTCGTGATTCGACACCCCCCCCTTTCAAAATGGCCAAAAAACGCCCATGGACGATACGCTAGTCAACTTAGTCGTCTAGCGTTGGGTCAAACAAAGATTATTGGCAAAGATTGTTAAACATACCTCGAAGTCCAAATTTGAGCCAGATCTCCTGCAATATGGCTAAATCGTTGAATGCAGTAAGAAATCTTAGGTTTTTTGTTGTTGTACAGGACGCGCTGCAGGGTGGGTTAACGATTACCGCACTGATAAAAGTCCATGGATACAGGTTGACTTCGTTGGCACAGTCACCATCACTGGTCTGATCACCCAGGGGCGTGGAGACATCGACCAGTGGGTGACGGAGTACCAAGTGACGTACAGTGATGACGGTCAGTCCTGGAATAACGTGATTGATGCAGACGGCACACCAATAAAGGTATATAGTCAGGTTGCAAACGGTTGGAATCGTGACCGACTGGTCCAAAGCACCAAATTTGGCAGATAGATTATTATAGCCCTAAAGAAGATATTTAGAAGACGTGACACCTGAAATTCTTTTGGGAAGAGTGCCTAATTTGCATGAAGCGTTCATCCCTGTTGTGTTATATTTATTCCCATATTTGGGTAGATCTTTATTTTTGTTATTTTTGAAAAGCATATTTTGGGGATTTTACTTACATATCCTTACTTAAATAATATTTTCTAAAGAATATCGGAGACTTGAAGATTATGAGGACATAATAAAGATCCAAAACGGCTACCATTATACCCTAAAGTTGCGCGCATTTCCTTTTCCCTCAGATATCATCAAGTAGTCTTGCCAAACCTCAGTATTGACAGTTATCCTAGCAAAAATAAATGAGAAATCATGTGAAACATTAATCATCTTGATATTTAGCCCACGAAAAACAAAAAGGGGGAAAATGAGGTGTCCGTAAATTGGGCTAAAAATTACGCGAAGCCTATCGTGGGGGATTTGATCAAGCTCCCCGTTTTTGTTTTCTGGGTTAAATATCACAATGTTATCATTGTCCACATGATTTTCCATGAACTTTTAATCGAGTAACTGTGCCAGTAAGCAACTTGGTGAATTTGAAGCTCAACAATACTATTTGGCAAGACTACTTGATGATATCAGTTCTGGAGACAAGGTTAATGAGCGAGGGTATAATAGTAGCCATTTTTGATTGTTACTATGTCCTCATAATTATCCAGTCAGTCTTAAATGCTTTAGAAAATGTTATTGAAGTAAGGATGTGTAAGTTGAATCCCAAAATATACTTTTCAAAAAATAAAATAAAAAATGTACTCAAATATGGGAATAAATATATAACACGGTATTGATTAACGATTTATGCAAATTAGGCACCCTTCCCAAAAGAATTTCAGGTGTCACCCCTTCTAAATATCTTCTCTAAGGCTACAACACCATATCTACCAAGTTTGGTGCTTTGGACCAGTTGGGTCACGATCTTGTCAAAAATTGGTATGAGTCTTCTGACTAATAGAAATGTTTCAAGGTATCAAAATATCAAAAGTCGTTTTGCTGACTATTGTTACGACATAATTAGTAGCGTATCCAGCTTTTGATGTGAGGGGGGCAACCGCACATCCACAGCGAAATGTAGACATGATTTTTTTTCTTCCGACACTTGGCCTCCGAAAATCAAAAAGCGGGGGGAGGACCATCTTCCAAATGGGAGCGCTCTTCAAAACCATTATTATGCATACTGGAAAATAAATTATGTGCCGATTTTCACGGCACATTGCATTGCCTTTTTTTTAGCTGGTTTTCTTTTTTTGGGTTGATGTCAGAACTCTCTTAACATTTATAGAAATACTTACTGTGCAAAATATCTTTCAAAACTCATCCGGGTTGGTGCACGGTGCCCCTGCCCCTCCCCCTGCCCCCCCCCCCCCTCTGGATATGCCACGGGACATAATGAATCCATTCGAATGTCTACAACCTGAACACACCATTCTTCTTTTTTGAACAGTTCCCTGGTAACAAGGACAGGAACACCCTGGTAACTACTCGCCTGCCGTTTGCCTTGCGCACCAGAATCCTGCGCATTCACCCCACTGACTGGAAATCGTCCTGTAGCATGAGGTTTGAAGTGATTGGCTGCTATTAAGTCAGACTTATTACATTGCCGACGAGTGAGTCAAGTGATTTCAACGTTAAAAGTAGCTCTGTCGTAGAACCAAACGAAAATATTCATGCTTGTAAATACCGGCTATACTCAAGAATAATTCGGTAATTTGAATGAAATTTGATGAATATTATTAGTTCTTTTTATTTTTTTTTCAAATTTGTGAATCTATATTACTGATGCATTTAAAATGCATACTGGTTAATCGTTAGTCAGGGTGTACGTATAGATAATTAGCTGATTGGTAAGACTTAGAGTGAAAACAAACCCTGGGAGTACACTTTATAAAGAAAGGCAAATCTCCAGAAAAATCTGGACCGTCCTAGAGCAAGCTTGCTTTTTTCCTGTGACTTAATATAACTTTAGAACATGACAACGAATACGAGAAATGTTATGTACGAATTTAAGAAAGAATTATCCTCGTAATAAAAAAAAGAAGAATTATTATGTGTTAGTTGCTAGTAGGTACGGTGTGTCTACAAAGAATTAGTATGGGAGAAATTATTATCCTGAAATTTTGTAATTCGGAAAAAAAGCATTTGAGAAACACTCGCTCTATTTATTTCATATTAAGCCCAAATCTGGGGGCGGATGCAGCCCCTGAGCTTCTGATAATGTTATGATACCAGTAAAATGGGGCCCAAAGAAAAGAAAAAGAATTCTAAAGTTCCTATATTCTCAAATAGTGTTATAGAGTGGCGGGGAAAGCATCGTAGATTTCACAATTTTCAGGGCGGGGGGGGGGGGCATGCCCCGGACCCCCAGCATTCACTATGCTATATCCGCCCAAGAAGCCGTTTGTATTAGCAAATGTATATGTCAAAAGACATTTATCAAGGGTACGCCACCTTGAAAATCAAAGCGAGGCATAACGCAAACAAACATGGCGGCGTAACTATTGTGTGCGGTGAACGATTGACTCTCGCAATATTACAGCAGATTGACACTCTTATAAATGGATGGATAGCTCAATTCCCCCCATCAGCATAGGTATGTCACGTCTTATTGTATTTTGAAGAAGGATCCGATAAATATAAAAACCAAAAAAAGTGGCCAGTCTGAAGTTTCCATGACTGAAGATAATATGCGAATACAGTATGAGTAAAAAAAAAGAAACCCAAATGTCGGGACCATTGTTTTAGTGAAGTTATTGCATGTAGCACTTTTCAAAATCTAAGATATGAAAGCTGAATTCATGAGCTCTTTTTTTTAGTACAAGAATCATTCGAATTGCAAACAGGTGAGTATTCTTTTGTCAAAACGAAAACAAAAACCATAGGGATGTATGTGAATTGTTTTCGGTTTGCTGAAAGAACGCACACCTTTTGTGTGATCCATGGACAGAACTTTAAAACAGTGGTTGTGTTTAAAATTCCGTAACTTAAAAAGCAAATAAGTGATTTGAATGATTCTTGTACTAAAAAAAGCTTATAAATTGAGATTTTATATCCTAGATTTTGAAAGTGCTACATGCAGAACTTCAATAGAACAATGGTCCCGACATTTTGGTTTCGTGTTTTTTTTTTACTCACCCTGTATAGCACCGCCGTAAGATCAGAGAAACGATAAAGACTTTTTTTTTCCACTTTTCTATCAGAGGCTTTTCTGAGCTGAACATGCATCTGTTTTATTTTTCGTGTTGTCAATAAGTAGAGAAAGTGAATATGCTTAATTGTGACTTTAATGTAGCCGATAAATGTGCATGTACAATTATGCCAACCTGCGCTTTAAAGGTGGCACATATATGTTTATTCATTGAATGCGTTATCATATATTGTCTTTAAGCAAACCTGTATCCTCGATCCTGATTGGTCGATCCATGGCAACAACAGTGTGATATGAAGCTGTATTGCACGGTCCATATCGCACCCTGCGTATTGCGTTATTCCAAGATGCGAGCATATCTATCTATCTAGGCGCTTGCGTCAAGTTGATCTGACATCGCGCACTCTGTAAGTGTTCTCCACTGTTCTCTGTCTGATGCCACGTGCCACGTGCATCGATCCTTGATGTTGACCCCCGTGGTTGTCAGGTCCTTGTTTACTCTCTTCAGCCACGTGGTTCGTTGTCCCCCTCTTGGTAGCTTGTTCTTGCGGATTGCCTCTAGAAGTGCTTGCTTGGCAGGAGCTTCCTCGGGTAGTCTCAGGAGATGGCCTGTCCACCTAAGACGTCTTCGGGTAATGGCAGTACTCCAAGGGATCTCGTTGGTTCTCCTGTACAGTTCTTTGTTGGTGATCTTCTTGGGCCATTTTATATTAAGGATTGAACGCAAGAGTCTTCTGTGAAATGCATCAATGTTCTCTTCTAGTGACTTATAACAATGTCCATAGTTCGCTGTTGTATAGGAATACAGATGCTATGAAGGCGCGAATGTTTTGAGTTTCGTGTTGTTTGAGATTGCATCACTGTTGAAGACATTCCTGAATTTGTTGAAAGATACCATCGAAAGTATTTTCCTCCTGGTAATATCTTGCTCAGTGTCGAGAAAAGATCCCAAGTATTTGCATTTCTTCCAACTGGTGTTGCTTCCGTTTCTACTGATGAGGTGTTTCTCCGTCTTAGACGTGTTTACTGTGAGGTTTCGCTCTTTTAGTACCTCAGGTGCCTTCCTCTCCACAGTTGCTATCGGGTGGATATTGTTACTATGGATGCGAGCGACATTCTATCTGCATGCGCTAAACCGCTAAACGGTTCGTGTAGAGCAATGGTCCAACTGTACTGCGCGTCAAGTTTGCTTGAAGATAAATTCGTTATCACACTCGTGCTCGTGGAACTCGGAAAATGTAGTGCGTCTGTGTCCCATAATACCAATCGACCTTCGGCCTCGTGGTATGTGGGACACAGACGCACTACATTATTACGTGTTCCACTCGCGCTCGCAGGATAACTTATAATATATATGAGAAAAGTACTGAAGCTGTTACGTCAAGGTCTCTTCAAGATGCTTAAAATATTTGGCAAAACTCTTGTAATTATTAAAATTTGAAAACTACTAAACATACTGTACGTAGCACATGATATATCGCTTTGTATATATACGTGTCAAATGAGCTGCAGCTATATCCCTTTAGAATTCAAACGATTCAAGTGTAGATAAGAACAACATGGACAAGGCTAATTAAAAGTCGAAGTGTTTCTTATTTTTCCCCTCAATTTGTTTGCAAGACTGTCCACCTTTTCTCAGTTTTCAAAATGTATTTGCTTTTAGTTTTTTTAGTTTTTTTCTGGCAGTGACAACGTCTATAGACGTTACTGGTTGAGCCGTGCACGCACACGTTCCAAGGGCGAATCCGGGGGCCAGCAGGGCCAGGTGCCATGACCCCGCCCCCAACGAAACCAATTTTGTTTTTCTTTTCAAATGCTTGGCCGTTTTTAAAAAATTCGTTGTCGATGTCAAATATCATTCCTGTTCCAAACTCAGGCGATCTCTCAAATACGGACAATTACCACGAAATCAGTGTCACCTGCGACATTGCCAAACTGTACAATCGCATGATTCTTAACAGGTTAAAAAGTGCCAAAGAACCAAAAATCTGTGTGAATCAAAATGGTTTCAGGGAAAGGAGATCCAGCAATACTAGCTTTAAGGAGGATCGTTGAAGAAGCGAAGAAGAACAATCTCCCTGCCTTCTTGACCTTCATAGATTTCAAGAAGGCGTTTGAGTCAATTCATCGAGGCAAAAAGGATCGGAATCCTTAAGGCTTATGGAGTTCCTCCCAGACCTCAAAGGGCCATAAAATCAATGTATACTAACACCAGATCACGCCTGATGGTGAAACAACTGAATTCAATATGTCAGTAGGTCATCACTCTGGCTCTATTCCTGTTTATAATCGTGCTTGATATGCTCTTCGGGAGGCAACAAGTGGTAGAAATGCAGAGCTTGGGTTTACCATCATTCGTTCTAGAGTTGTACTTGAAATTGAATATAATGATCTTAAGGACATTTATCTTGTTATCATTCCCCATTTTTATCAAAAAGTGTACTTCCTCTTGTATAAACGCGAAATACAATTTTGCTTTTCAAGTTACTGCTTCGACTGTTTTGGCCAACATAACACAGAAAAAAAGTGACCAGAGTTTGAATTGATGGCATGGTATCTTTGTAATTCCTTTTTTTCCTACCCCAAATTATGAAATGTATCCCCGCTCCCATAAGAGAGAGTTTTCCAAATTCATATGTTCCTCTACTGCAAAAAGTCTCGATATATGACTCTTAATTAATTCCCATGTCCAGTGGTCATAAAGTTATCTCCTTTAAATCTCTTATGTACGCACCTGAGAATACAATGAAAAGACCATAAGGTAACAAGAAGGTTATTTAATCTGGATCCAATTATCTCACCCCAAAATCTCACCAGTATTGTAAATACATCATAAACTTCTGTGAAGTTTTAAAAAAATTGTTAAATTTTCCAATGAGCTTTAGAGGCAGGAGTTTCCCATGCTACATTGATGTCGGCAAAAGAAATCGGTTGGATGAAAACTGATTATTAACAGGAACTTAAGTTTTTTTTTCAGATTTGTTTAGACTCTTAGTGGCTTAATCAGTAATAATATACAATGACATGTATTTCCATTTTGTAGTATCTCTTTTTCATGAAGCAAATTGTGAAAAGGGTATTTTCGGAAGACCAGCTAGAATATGGATTTTTATTTTATCAAAATTCAATACTCTTAAAGGGAGACTTTTGGCCGGTTGCGCTCTTTTGGGCTCTAAAAACGCAATTCTCACGAAATAATTGTATAATATAAACGTGCACACAACTATAATGACGGTTTTATTTGTGTGTTGAAATTCAATGGCTTTTTGTTCACTGCTAGAAATACTTAAAGGAGAGGCAAAAATCGCTGACGCGCAAAAAAATTAAACAAACGGGTGTTTTCAACATTTTCTCTGGAAATGTCAGACATTTTGCACAGGACTTACTGGGATCCAGAAAACACTACGTTTTGACATTCTGCGGATGAAAGTGCACCTGAAACTTTGATAATAATTACTTCGAGCGTCCCAAACTATTTTACTTGTTGCAGTATGGTGAACGCAATAAGAGGGCGCTATTTGAAGTGGGTAAATTTGAGTCAATACAAAAGAGTTTACCCACTCAAAATCACTTCGTAAACCCATGGAATGAATATTATTCAGTATGCACTGCCGACAATTTTGTTCTACAGCACTATATAAAATTCCAATAAATATTGCATGAAATTTTTCAAATATCCAATATACTTTACTTAATTATCTTATCAAATCTGGTATACACTATTTTCTTATTAGAAATGAGCATTATTATATATACATGTAGATTATTACTCTTTATTAATTGTCCTTTCCCACATCCATGGTAAAGCATTAATCTCAGTAACTGGTAGAAATGGATAAAAAAAAAATTATAACTGGAAATATTCCTTAGCAAATTGTTTTTCTTCTTTTTTGCATTTT